TTCTAGATACCCTTAACAATACATTTTATTTTCACAATCATCAATATATTCATTATGATTTAATCATTCACAATTATCATTTTTAATCAGAATATTCATCAAGATTCAATCATCATAATAATCAATCAATAATCATTACCATAATCATCAATCAACATAATATTCAATAATAATTAGCGGCCTAGCTTCGGGTGTTAACACCCTAACTTACCGTCATGCATCACATAACATTTTTATTTGTTAAAAACATCATTTTTATTATGGTAAATCATTTTTCTAATGATCAAAATCAATTGGTGGATTTTAGAGCATATATTTTCCAAATATTTTCGGAACAGGATCTGGACTTGAGAAAAATAGATTTTTATTTTTAAAAATAATCAATTAATACCTAAAAATCGATTTTTATATTTAAAATAATCCATTAATAGCTAAAAATCGATTTTTATATTTTAAATAATCAATTAATTGCTAAAAATCGATTTTTATATTTTAAATAATCAATTAATTGCTAAAAATCGATTTTTATATTTTAAATAATCCATTAATTACTAAAAATCGATTTTTATATTTTAAATAATCAATTAATTACTAAAAATCGATTTTTATATTTTAAATAATCCATTAATTACTAAAAATCGATTTTTATTTTTTAAATAATCAATTAATTACTAAAAATCGATTTTTATATTTAAAATAATCAATTAATACTTAAAAATCGATTTTTATAATTAAAATAATTGATTAATAACGTTAAATCGATTTTTATGATTAAAATAATCCATTAATTCATATTAATCGATTTTTAAAATTTAAAAAATCAATTAATTCATAATAATCGATTTTTACAATATAAATAATAGATTAAATGGTACTGATTTCGAACCACTGCTCTGAATAAAATTCTAATCGATTTTTAGTAAGTAAATAATCGATTTTCGACCACTGTTCATCATCTTCTTCCTCGGGACAGTTTTAACATTATCATTTTTAATCTTCAAACTTCAATTTAATTATATAAAAATGTTCTCCAATGTTCACAAATCATTTTAGAGTCATTAATTCGTAATTTTAACAACAATTTCATGGTTTATGATTCTTGGTTCTTCAAACATGTCAAACACAAAACTCAACCAAACGACCGTTTATGAACGTAGAAACGATCTATATGAACATTCTAGTCACTAGATATATGTACGAGCTTACCTCCAAGCTTATCGAAGGTTTTGAGAATTTTCCGGCGAAACTTCCGGCGACGATAACTCCCAACTCCGGCGACTTCGGTGGCAACCAACATATCAGACTGCTCTCTTCACTCTTATGAACACAATGGTACAAAAATTGTAAGTTTTGGTGAAGAATGAGAATGTTGATGATACTCTTATATAGGGAAGGAAGGAGAAGGAGACGCAGTTGCTGAGTCATTGACGATTCACGCTAGGCTTAGTGCGCTGGGAGGCGCCGTTCGCACAGTGTCCTGATTGGGACCAATTTTGGTTCCAGTCGGGATACACTTTTTGGTCCAACTTTCTCCGAATTAAAATCCGTTTGTACCGTTGCGATCAGACAGTCGAACTCTATCCAACGATATAATTTTTATATTCATTCGTTATACTTTTTCTGACACCACATTTTTGGGTGTTTGACTTTAACAGAGTCAAAATTGATTTAATTGACCTTTCTCATAAAAGGTTCTCTCATTTAATTCACATCAATTATTCTCATGATTTATTTCAACAAATCATTTCAATATTTACATTCTAAACAAATTCTTTATTTACTCTTGATTTGGGTCTGTACTCAGGTTCCCAATCAAGACCACACAAATAGTCCACATATTGGATTTATCCATGAGACTTATCCAGATTTTGATATTAGATGTCAAAACAAATTTCATATCGGCCCAAAGCCCAACAATAATTTATTTTAATCAAAACAATTGTGATTAATTGATTATTTATTCATTAATAATTCTAGGGTATGTTTTGGGGCGTTACAGAGTGAGAACCATCAATTTTACAAACGGGGCACCAAAGCGCCCTCGGATCATCTCATGACATTACCGAGCAATGTCATGGGAACCGTCCTCAAAAAAATTAGGCTCAGTTCATATACGTATAGTAAAAATAGAGTTGAATGTTGAAAGAAATATGAAGAAGTTGGAAAAAACTAAAAATATAGTTAGAAAAAACAGGAAAGAGTTGGCAGAAACTGGAAGGAGTTGGAAGAAACAATATTAATTTGGAAAAAGCTGGAAGAATTCAGAAGAAACTTGAAAGAATTGAAAAAAATATGGTAAGGAGTTAAAAAACTTATAAAAAGTTGGAAAAATGAAAAGTGTTGAGATAATTATTATATTTTATGAGTTACATATTTTATTTAAATAACTTATGTTATTCTTTTTTATTTAATTAAAAAAGAATAGTATTTCATTGGAGATACTCTCTCTTATTTTTTACATTTTAAAATTAATCATTAAATTTTTTAATTCTTAATTTGCAAGTCATTAATCTATATAACAAAAATAAAAGGGTGAATAAAGTAATACGTTTTTAAAAACCATAATTGAAAAAGGACATAACTAATCTAGTGATCTTCAGAGTCTCCACCAAACAAAAATATTTCTACATCGTATTTTGGTATTATAATGTAATTTCGTAATTACTCCGTACCTAAATATTTACCACACATATATTCGCGAGACAAAATATGAAGTAAATTCATTTTATTTGCAAAATTTTGAGGGACGCCCTGCAAATAAATATTTTGGGAGGGAGAGAATTTGATTTTAGTCGTTGTTCAACCGCAGACCTCAATCGGCCTCCTTTCTGCCTTCCCAACTGATGCAGATATATAAACAGGGAAGCGCGCAGCTGACTCAAGCGCCGACAAACACGACGGTGGACGAAGTACAACAGAACAACACGGCGACAAACCTAGCGATAGCAGCGACCGCCTCCTTGACGATGATTTGCATCTGAGAAATTGGTAATTTGATCTTCTTCTTTAATTGTTTTTCTTGTTTCTCCTTGATTTATATCTCCAATCATAATCAACTTGAAAAAGGTTCTATGCGAATTCTCCACACCCAATTAGTGATATTAATTAGATAGTTGATGAATAAATATAAACACATATAAAAGGAAATACATTTTTAATGAAAGGTGAATACAACAACAATTGTTTTGTAATGAAAGGTGAATACAAAAACAACAAATATAAACATTAATTGTTTTGCTAATATGCTATACTGTTCACTATAGCATATCGGCAAAATGGGGGGGGGGGGG